CCAGGAGTGCGCCGACGGCTCCCCTATAGTAGGCCGAAGTGATGGCGCGATACCGCTCCTGACCGGCGGTGTCCCAGATCTGCGCTTTGATAGTCTTGCCGTCCACTTGAATACTTCTTGTGGCGAATTCAACACCGATTGTCGACTTCGACTCCAAATTGAACTCATTTCGCGTGAATCGAGACAATAGATTACTTTTGCCGACACCGGAGTCACCGATCAGTACCACTGATTACATCACATCAGACAACACATGCCATACGGAGACCGCGAGGACAGCACCGGAGGGCAGAGGGAGACACAGATTGGCATTAATGACATTCATTTGTCACAAGACTTTGATTACACATACCTTTGAAGAGATAATCGTATTCATCGTCTTTGGAGACCATTATTGGTTGTGACAGAAAAGAGGATTCAGTTATTGATTAATGAATTAATATTTCCTTTCAATTGAATACTGGATTCAATAAAACCAAAAAATCACTTCAAATAACAAATTATTATTTTTATTATTTTTTTTCCACAAAAAACAGTCTTTTATAACAAGCGATGAGTCGTTTGTGTCGTTAAATACAATAATTATAACAAATTATACTAAAAATAGCTCTAATTATGACAAACAATATCTAAATTGCAAATTCAGACCAATTGTTCACTAATTGTTTGATTCAATTTCACGTATAATTAGTCATAAGAAATGAATGTATAATTTGTGAGACATTTAATCAGTTGTTGAATGAAATTGTGTTTTCAATGAACGCTTTGGACACACATTGGCTTAACCTTAGCTATAATATGGCTGTTGTGAAGATACCCAACAAACTCCTACTCAACACACAGTCATTCAGTCACACACTCTATGCCAGTCCATACACTCAACTCTCCCTATAGTATACACTATATATTCGCTGTCAGACTTATTCATTTATACCATTACTCCCATTACTGTATATTCACCCCTATTTACACCCATTTAGTGAACGCTATGGAAATGACCGATAAGAGTGCAAAACTTTCCCCACTGTATGGGTAATGTAATGGATGAATGGTATGAGTAGTAGTTGTATAGAGTGTTGTGTTGGAAGTGTTAAAAACGCCCCAAAAGTGAGCGATGGGTCGAGAGATGGCATTGTATTGCGAAAGCCGTCTCCAAAAAGTGCTGCGAAAAACTTGTCAATCATTTCTCAATTGAACTGAACGTTAAGTTTTTGTGCTTAAAATTGTGTTTAAGTTTACAAATAATTATTTCTAATTGTATTGAGTTATTAATAAACTTATAATTATGTCAATCGATATGAAGTTATGTAAACACGAGTTTGTTTTGTCACTGAAAACAACGCTTTCTTCTAATCAGACAATCGTTTAAATGCATACAAAACCTCGTTTTTAACGGTATTTTTGCCATTCATTTGTCTATCAATTGTTTGTCATTTACTGTTAGTTTATGTTATAATTAAAAGGATTGCTTTCAATGGGTTGCCTATGAGTTGCCTATCACTGCAGCCGTCAATCATGTGTTTTTTATCGCAATCGTTGACATTAAATGATTTATAAAACTTACCAAAACTTTTTTGTCCCCAAAAAGTGATGAATAATTGTTGTTTTAATTTTCAATTTATATTAAAATTTATAATAAAAGTAAATAAAAGATAATACTATTTATACTGAAGGCCTCTCTATTAATGACTCATTCACTTAATAATACTTGTATTAGCTATTTATTGCATATATAGCTCTCTCTCTCTCTCTCTCTCTCTCTCTCTCTC